CCGCTGCTGCTCCCCGAGCTGCTGCGGCTGCTGCTGCGGCTGCTGCGGCTGCTGCGGCTGCTGCTGCTGCTGCTGCTGCTGCTGCTGCTTCCGCCGCTCTGGCTGCTGCTGCTCGCCACGCTCTCCTCCTCGGCGTCCACCAAAGGCTGCCATTCAGGCTTCTCCAGAAGGAAGCTGGGGTGCTCGCTCGTAGCCCAGTTCACGGTGCTGCTGCTGCGACTCGGGTTGCTGATGCTGTGGTTGCTCATGCTGCCGTTGCTGCTGTTCGCGCCCAATGACGGGACATGACCTTCACTAGGCAAGACGCTCCCAGATAAGGAGGGCGTTATGCCCATTTGCCCTGCAGCGTAAGCAGCCGCCGCTGCTGCTGCTGCAGTCGACGCAGCCGATGCTCCCGCTGCTGCCATTGTTGCTGCTGCTGCGTTCCCCGCAGCAGCAGCACCCGCTGCTGTTGCCGCTACCTCTGCAGCATGCTTTTGCAAGAATACGTCAAAGGGCTCCTGAGAGCCCTGCAATCTCATCTGCAGCCACTTGTCGGCCGCCACTTGCAAATGTGGAAGTTCATACTGCTGTTGCTGCTGCTGTTGCCGCAGTTGCTGCTGCAGCTGCTGCTGCTGTTGTTGCTGCAGTGCTCCGCTCTCAAAGTGCACCTGACGCATAGGACCACTAAAGTTGTTTCGCGCCACTAACTGAGGCTGCTGCAGCGTCCGCGTTGCTTCCTCGGCAAGGGTGGCCTGGGACAGCACAGCAGCAGCAGCGGCAGCTTGCTGCTGCTGCTGCTGCTGCTGCTGTTGTTGCAGGATGGCCACTTCGTGTTGCAGTTGGGACTGGCGCTGGCGCTCCTGCTGCGCGGCCGCCAGTGCTTGATGCATTGCAAGCTGTTGCTGATACTGAGCAGTAGAAGCAACAGAAGCAACAGAAGGGGCAGATGTACCAGAAGCAGCAGAAGTGGTGGGGGTGAGCTGCTGCAGTGGATCACGAGCGAAAGGTGCATCAGAAGCAATGGGATTTTGCTGCTGCAGAAGAAGCTGTTGCTCTACCTGAGACGCTTGCTGTGGCTGCTGCTGCCGCGGAGGGAATTCTACATGCTGCAGTAGTTGCTGCTGCGCATGCTGTTGCATATGCCTGTGCAGCGCGCACTGATGTTCCAGGTGAAGCTGCTGCATTTGCTGCTGCTCCAGCTGATGTTGCTCCTGCATTTGCTGCAGCAGCTGCTGCTGGAGCGTCTGTTGCCGTGGCAGTTCCTGCTGAAGCCGTGCCTGTTGCTGCCGTTGCTGCTCGTCTCGCACATGTTCCTGCAGTTGTGCTGACTGAGAGATATGTGCGTGCTGCTGCTGCTGCGGCTGCACGTGGTGTTGCTGCAGCTCGTGCTGCTCTTGCCGCCCCTGGTGCACGTGCTGCTGCAGGTGCTCCTGTTGATGTTGCTGCTGCAGCGCTTGTGGATGTTGCCCCCATTTGTGTTGCTCCAGTAACTGTTGCCCTTCACGCTGCTGCTGCTGCTGTTGCTGAAGTTGCACTACTTCGTCGGGTTGCTGCTGCAGTACCGGCTGGCGAAGGGCTTGCGCGTTCACTAGCAGCGGCTGCTGCTGCCGCTGCTGCTGCTGCTGCTGGTGTTGCAAGAGCGCCTCCTGTGGCTGCATGAAGGGGAGACTTCCAGACGGCAAGGCAGGATTCAGCTCAGGAAATGCTGCTAGTGCTGCTGCTGGAGCTGCTGCTGGCGCTAAACCCCCAATTGGGGCTTGCAGCTGACTCGCAGCTGTGGCTCTTTGCTGCAGCGTATGGGGGAGAGGCGCAGCAGGAGTGATCCCTGCGGCTTGTTGCTTCTGCGCTGCTGCTGCGAGCTGAAGCTGCTGCTGCTGCAGCCACAGTTGCTGCTGCTGTAGCTCTTGGTCCTTCTGTTGCTGAACTTGCTGCTGAACTTTAGCAGCTGCAGCTGCTGCTGCCGCCGCTGCTGCTGCCTCTGTTGCTTCTGCCTCTGCCACTGACCCCAACTCTACTGGCATAATGGCTACAGAAGGGCCTCGATCAAGTATCTTGGGCGCCACATGCGGCTTCTGCTGCGCCAGCAGCTGCTGCTCCTGCAGTTGCTGCTGCTGCTGCTGCGGGATGAGCCCAAGAGGAACACTGTCAGGTGAAGGTATATTACCCCACGTCCGCCCTAACTCTGCTGCACCAGCTGCTGCTGGCATTTGCTGCGCCAACGAAATGTTGCTGCTGTTAAGGTGCCTCGCACCAATGTTCTGGATGTTTCCAGCGTTATCTGTGCAGGTGCGGTTTCGGATGTTTTCTGCTGCTGCTGCTGCTGCTGCTGATGCTGCTGCGGCATCCAACTCATCTGCTGCTGCTGCTGCTGCCTCAAGTACTCCCGCGCCGAAAAAAGCCGAAGAACCGTCGAGAGATCCTCTGCTGCCGAGTTCTCCTGAGCCCCTGCGGCCGCTAGCAAAGTTGCTGCCACTGTTGCTGCTACTATTGCTGCTGCTGCTGCTGCTGCCGACCCCACCACCCAGAACAGCATCACTGCGAAGGACAGGCACACTGGAAGGACCCACGAGCCACCTCAACGGGTCTTCAGGGCCCCCCGCCACAGCAGGCAGGGGGGCCCCCGCCAGTGGC